TAGACCCGATAGATCCGACCCCCGGTTGGGCAGCGCCGCCTCCAACAAGTCAGCTGACGGGAAGCTGAAGCTCTCCGCTGCGCTGACCCCAGATCAGGCCATGAAGCAGTTTATGGCCAAGATGTCGACCCTGGAGCACCACGAGGTGTTCAGCTACCCCGAAGGTGAGACACCTTTTAAGTTGTTATTGTTGGGGAAATATTTTCTCCTAGGCCCAAAACTTTGACCCAGTTTATCAGTACTTTATTATTCCCTCACATTACAAACACAGATGATATACACACACACACACACACACACACACACACACACACACACACACACACACACACACACACACACACAGAGAGAGAGGGGATATACACACACAGAGGATATACATGCACACACACAGAGGATATACACACACAGAGGATATACACACACACACACACACACACACAGGATATACACACACACACACACACACACACACACACACACACACACACACACACACACACACAGAGAGAGAGGGGATATACACACACAGAGGATATACATGCACACACACAGAGGATATACACACACAGAGGATATACACACACACACACACACACACACACAGAGGATATACACACACACACACACACACACACACAGAGGATATATACACACACACACACACGCAACATGCAGAGCTAAACCCCAGATCTAATGTACGTCAGAGGGTCTTGAACAAGTTGTTTTTTAGCGATCGTAATGTTATGTTAAATATCTGTTTCCTTGTATGCAGGTAAACATGTGGGACTTGATCTGACATTAGTATTATCGTATGTTTAAACTCAAACATTAACAACCTAAAGGACAAACTACCCCGTACTTTATTCTGTTGCTAACGTAGGAATATATATATTTTCTCCTCAGTGTATTTCGTGGGTCCGAACGCGAAGAAGAGGTCGGGGGTTTTGGGCGGAGCCAACAACGGCGGCTACGACGACGATCAGGGATCCTACATCCACGTTCCCCACGACCACATCTCGTACCGCTACGAAGTCCTGAAGGTCATCGGCAAGGGCAGCTTCGGACAGGTACGAGCAGCATCAGGACAGTACAGGAGCTAGTGATGTTCGATCCTACTTAAAGTGGACCTATCATGCTATATTTTAATAATATAATGTAGGACCATACCTATATAAGGCATATTTATACTTTTTTTTTTTCAAAATACCAAACAGATCATGCATTTTAGCCATGCCTCATTTCGCTCAATTTGACAATTTATAGCTCTGCTTTTAGCAAGGGCTGATTCAGTGAGAACAGCACCATCTACAGGCCTGGCATATGTACTACAGCGTCTCCAGCGCTTTCGAACGGCAATGGCCGTGGCTGTCTCCTCCTGATTGGTGGAGTTGGCCCAATAGCCGTAGCACCACCGTCCTGACGTCAGGACAGTGTTCAAATCTGGATCAGTTTTTATCAGATCCGTTGCAGCCCCTTTTTTAGAGATTTGGGTATGGAGGAAAATAGAGAGGGTTGTGTTTTCTGACACTTGGTGAGTTCCCTGGAACACCGGGGACACATATTCATGTAGAAAAGACGTACACAAGTGCATTTTGCATGATAGGTCCCCTTTAACATATTTGAATTTGTGCAACTTGAAACTTTCAAGATTTTGAGAAAAATCTTGAAAATGTAAAGAACATTTTTCCATTTGTCTGAGTGTATAAGTGTTTGAATGGTAAAAGCAAAATGATTGTGTACAAGAAGGATATTCTCCTTATCGCTCTACCTAGATTTGTAAAACTCCCAAAAAATGACTGGCAAAAATGTTTTGAGTGAAATCAGAAAAAAAAATTAAATCTGGAAATATTCCCCAAAAAGTTCAGCCATCTTCAGCCAAACGTTAATATAGATATTTAGGTTTTCTCTTGTACATTACATTACATGTCATTTGTTAGACGCTTTTTTCCAAAGCGACTTACATACTCAATACTGTGGGCAATCCCCACAGGAGCAATTTGAGGTGAAGTGTCTCAGGGACACAACGACATGCTGACTGCAGTGGGACTCGAACTTGCTACCCCCTGATTCGAAGTCCAGCACTCTACCCACTGAGCCACAGCCGCCCACATTAGTCATGAAAGATGTCTGCTAATCCCAGTAGGATCTGAACTGATGATAATTGAAAGTGTTTCTCCTCCTCTTCCTCCCCCAGGTGGTGAAGGCCTTCGATCACAAGTCTCAGTCCCACGTGGCTCTGAAGATGGTCAGAAACGAGAAGCGTTTCCACCGGCAGGCGGCGGAGGAGATCCGGATCCTGGAGCACCTGAGGAAGCAGGACAAGGACTCCAGCATGAACGTGATCCACATGCTGGAGAACTTCACCTTCAGGAGCCACATCTGCATGACCTTCGAGCTGCTCAGCATGAACCTGTACGAGCTCATCAAGAAGAACAAGTTCCAGGGCTTCAGCCTCCCGCTGGTCAGGAAGTTCGCCCACTCCATCCTGCAGTGTCTGGACGCGCTGCACAAGAACCGCATCATCCACTGCGACCTGAAGCCGGAGAACATCCTGCTGAAGCAGCAGGGCCGCAGCGGCATCAAGGTGGGAGAGACTCCAGACACTGGGGGGGTTTGTGCCACTAAAAGTGTGTGTCTGTTAAATGTACTTTTCTGTCTCTCTGCAGGTCATAGATTTTGGATCGAGCTGTTACGAGCACCAGAGGGTTTACACCTACATCCAGTCCCGGTTCTACAGAGCGCCAGAGGTCATTCTGGGTAAGCAACACGAGCGGAAAGCAGGCTTTAATTCACACACATACAACATATTAACTTCTCTTTCTCTTCTTTAGTTCTTTGAGCCATGAAAACCACAATTGTACTGTGGGATTTGAGCCTATGCAGAGCATTTACATGCACGAAAACTATAGGAGAGGGAACACCCCAAAAAGCAGAATAGGGCCCGTTTTTAAAAGGATGCTTTTCCTGAAAGTTTGTTGACGGTTTGATCTAGATCCTTCCCCTCTCTCTCCTCAGGCTCTCGGTACGGGATGCCGATCGACATGTGGTCTCTGGGCTGCATCCTGTCGGAGCTGCTGACGGGTTACCCTCTGCTGCCGGGCGAGGACGAGTCCGACCAGCTGTCCTGCATCATGGAGCTGCTCGGCATGCCGGCGCAGAAGCTCCTGGACGCCTCCAAGAGGGCCAAGAACTTCGTCTCCTCCAAAGGTTTCCCGCGATACTGCACCGTCACCACGCTGCCCGACGGCACCACGGTTCTCAACGCGGGGCGATCGAGGCGAGGAAAAGTCAGAGGAACGCCGGGAAGCAAAGAGTTCAGCACGGCGTTAAAAGGATGTGACGACCCGTTGTTTCTTGACTTCCTGAAACAGTGTCTTGAGTGGGATCCGGCGCTCAGAATGACTCCGAGTCAAGCGTTGAGGCATCCGTGGCTCAGGAGAAGACTCCCGAAACCACCGACAACAACGACGACGACGGGGATTTCTGATAAAACGCCTGTCGGGAAAAGCGCCATAACCTCCATTTCCAAACTCGCTACAACAACCACTTCCTCCACCACCGTCTCCGTCTCCTCCTCCTCCAAAACCAGGACTAATTTGGCGGCGATTACCGACGCCAACGGGAACATTCAGCCGAGAACGGTGCTGCCGAAACTGGTCAGCTGAGAGTGAACGCACCCCGAGGGATTGAAATAAAAAAAGTCCAGTTTTTTTGGAGGAGTTTCTCTAAACGCTGGAGACTAAGCGTCGTCTGGGTTTTTGGCTGCGATGTGAAGCCTGGAGGATAAACTGGGGTGCGTTCAGAACAAAGAAAAGACACATTGTGAGCGAGCAGCGAAACAGGAAGTGACCACACGACAATCACTCTGTAGCTCCAAACACATCACAACACATGGTGCTGACGAGGGAACAAGGCTTTTTTAATGTTTTTAACACAGAATCTATTTAGTGAGCTGATTAATCGACACCAAAAACTACTTTTTAACCTCTTAGTCTTACAAGGTCATATCTGCGGACAGTAATATTTAACGTGCTTTACTTACATAAACGTCTGATATTTCCTTGTAAAACTAAAATAATCTTTGTCTCGTCATATCTTTATGAAATCCTCTTTTGTTACGCTTCAGTTTGGGGCATTTGTTACTACTTTTAACTTAAAAAAATACACAATTAAATCCAAACTGAAGCATCTACCTGTTAGCTGGCTAACGATCTTAGCTAGCTGTGTTAGCGTGCTAGTTTTGTGCCTGTCAGCTGGCTAATAACCACGGGTTAGTTGTTAGACAGCTTTATATTTGTGTTTAGGTGTCACTTTAATACCTTTTTACGAACTTTTAAATCAGTCAGCTAGCTCCAGCTGGCTCACTGTTTGCCTTGTTTGGCAGTCTGGTGGCTAGCCTTAGCCTTTTGTTAGCCATAGCCTGTTAGCTCTCCACCTGCCTCCGCCTTACGAAGCACAGATTATTTTATGTCGTTTTATTTTCTGAAGGTTAGCAGAAAGAGAGAAGACACAGTATGTTGAGGTGAAGTATTTTGTCTTTGATTATCAAATCTGATTATTCAAGGAGGCAAAATGGCTGAAGGAGGAGAAAAAGTTAAGTTTTAAATAACGTTAAAATCTAAAGGGCTCTGATACAAAAAAACAACAACAACCGAAGTCTGGATGATAAACCTGTGGCTGGAGAACGACCTGAGATTTAAATTAGATAAACAAAGTGAATTATTCCTGATCCAGGAAATGTATATTAATATATTTAACCAGTCATGAAAGCAATGATAAAGACAAGGCATTGTGGGTTTAAAAATACAAAATGAAGGAGCCGGGCGAAGTGTTGAGAATATAAAACTAAGATATGGTTTAAAATGTTTATATTTAACATTAAAAAAAAACAAGAAACATGCCAAGTTTCTTGTTTTTATAAGCGGGAAAATTATTTTATAATTCTCTGAAATTATATAAAATGTTCGTGGTAAAGTTACCTATTTAAAAAAAAAAAATCTGCCATTAAAACAATTTATTTACAAGAAAGAAATCCCACATTTCTGTTAAAATGATCTAGAAATTCAATAACATGTTCTCCGCCCTGGCCTTTGTAATTATTTGTATCCGCATGAACCCAAACATTGTGTCCTAACAGGATCAGAAAGCTAAAACAAGAGAAGGTCATTCAGGATGAATTATTAGTACTTGAAATTATATAAACCGGAAAGAAAAATGAATAATTATCCAAGGAAAATCCGCCAATTAAACTTCAGTAACAGAAATCCCCAAATATAACGATATATAAATACTTTGCATAACGTCACAACACAGAGCCGTGTGTGTTCGAATCCAAATGTGGAGGAAAAGTCGTTTAAAATCAAGTATGTGTTGCCGTGTCTGAATGACGGCGTTTCTTACGACGGGTCTTTATGTAACCGGAGCCGTGAAGCAGATTTAGCCTGAAGGTAGAGAAGAGGTCAGCTGTTTATATCCTCAGACATCATTCAGTCTCAGTGAAGCAGGAGATTCAGATTATTTTATTTGGATAAAAAGCCTCGTGACGGAGAGGGACGAGGCTCTCGTTTCAATTCAGGGTTTCAGGGAGAGGATTTAGACCCTAAACATATCCACTACAATACTTAAAATCAAATACTAATGTCGTAAAAGGGGCTCCAGTCCCATCAGTGTGTGTTGTTGTGATACAGGGTTTTATGTATGCGACACGTTGGTGTCAAATATTGTAGAAAATTCACACTAACTGTGGCTTTAAATTCAATAAAAAAGGATTAAAGGGGCACAAATATAACTTGTACAAAATAAAAAGCATCACACACAATAATAATGTGATATAATGACCTGCATAATCAATCAAATAATACTTCAATTAAATCAGCATATAGAGAAATTAAAGCAGTTCAAAGACTGAAAGGATGCACACAATTAGAAATGTAAGCAGGTTAATTTAAGATGAGAAAACAAAGTAATATTTGTGTGAGTTTTTAACGGAAAATGCAAATTAATGCTGTCGTTTGTGGCACTAATTCTGCTGAGAGCGTAATTGAAAAACATCTTAAATGAACACATATTGTTACGTACAGAAACTCACCCTGCTGCTATTTCCTGATGTGACTGGACCCCAGATATATCAAGTACTTATACACAACAGTACACAGTGTGTGTACATCAGAGAAACTGAAGAAAATGGACAAGAAATAGTGGAAATGTAATAAAATAGATCCAAAATATTTGCTTAAAAGGTCAAACGGATCTATCAATGTGATGGGGGGGGGGGGGGGGGGGTTATTTATTTACTACAACTTTAATTAATATTTATTAATCTACATATTTACTACGATGTGCAGTTCATACTTGAATGTGTGTGTTGTATGTAGCAGTGTGTGTGTGTGTGTGTGTGTGTGTGTGTGTGTTGAGAGTTTTTTTTTCTTAAAGCTTGTTCCCTCACACACACAAACACAGATGTACCTGAACGCACCACAGGAAAAGGAGGAAGAGGAATGACGTACTGTAGCACGGACGATGTGAAACACACAGACACACACTACCTGCTCTGATGTTTTCCTGTTTGTTTTCTAAGGATTTGATTGGTTGATTGATTGATTGTGTTTTTTAATTTTTTTAAACCTTTTTTTAGGAGAGTGCTGAGAGTCGTAACTTTGTGCCTTCGGTATCTAAACGCCATGACCACGCCCACCCAACACACACACACACACACTTATGGTACATTGTATCTCTCGGGGAAAACCCTGCGTTCTGATTGGCTCCTGCTTTTCTATGCCCTACCTAGCAACAACAACAAAAACATGGTTCTGTTTCAAACTAAAATTAAATAATACATAAAGGATTTACATTAAAAATAACTAATACAACAGTTTGCCCTGATCCTTTTGGGTTAAAAAACATTATTTTTAAATGGAAACGCCAAATCATGCTAGGAAAAGACAATAAATATGATAAATAAATACTCAAGGTAACTTGTATCTTTGATCAAATTCTAACCTAAAGGGTCATAACTAAAAATGACTTAATTAAGATTTGAACCCACTATCATAGGTTTTAGTAAGAAAACATGAATTCAAGAAGGTTATGACTTCAAATAATGGAGTTAGTACCTTATTGTTTACAGAGCTAGCAGAGCACGCTAACGCACCAACAACAGACTTTAGCTTTAAACTGAATAACACTAACATCAAGTGTGTGTGTGTGTGTGTGTGTTTGGGTGGTGTATTCAACATGGCCGCACAATGTACAGACACATATCAGCCAACTGTCGCCTCGAGCCTGACGCCTGCTGACGACAGGGCTAAGCTAACACTAGCCGAACGACCGCTAGCGTCCCGCCGCTAGCTGCTGCACTGACAGTGAAGCTAACACTAGCCTACCGCTAACTGACTGCTAGTAGCACATAGCAAGTTTATACCTGCTAGCTGTTAGCATTGATGTGGTTTTTAATAGTTTTTAGGGATGCACCGATTGATAATTCTGGGCCGATGTTTTTAATAATACTCTGGTTTATTCATTTGTGCCACGGTAACAAAGTATTCTTCTTTGTTAATTAGCATTTTATTACTCCATCTTTCAATGAGCACAATGTCAATCATGCTAGTTTATGAAACAACCTTTACTACTAGATGTGCCAAGGCCAATTCCAGATGTGGAAAATGAAGCGTTATCTGCGTCTAACCTCAAACATTTAATCGACGCAACACAACATCGGCCCCTGCCACCAGTTAGCATCTTATCTACCGTCAACAAGGCGAATATCATAGATGTGATATAAATTGGTGCATCCTGATTTTTTTATTTTAATGTTGGTACCTCAGACTGCTCAGTTATCCTTGTTTTTGTGTATTACTGTTGTCATTGTTGTGACTAACACCCAGGGCATTTGGTTGAATCTACCAAAGTGCATTCCTTTACAAAGCTAGCTGCGAGCTAGCTGCTCAAACACACAGACGGACGGAGAGGAAAGGCAACACATCTGCCTTTCTGACGGACAACGGAGATCATGTGATAGAGTTTTTGTTTTTTAAGACGTTTATAAGTAACAGGCTGCAGTCACACAGGAACATGAAGTTGAACTGACCTCCTGGTAGCATTTTTCTGCACACGTGTGAAAGCACCGGTAGCCTAACCAGCCTGCTAGCTCGTTATCACGCTAGCGAGGTAGCCTACTAGCTCGTTAGCCAATTTTGCTTCGATCGGGAGGTCTACGTTAGCCGCTGAAGATGCGCTGTATTTCTGTGACGTTTGCCAGCTGGGTTTTATTGTGGATTTCATCTGTAAATAATGTGGGGAAATGTTTTTGGGGGGAGGGATGATGGGGGGGGTTTGAATGCCAGTTTTACATTGTACTGTATTTACTGTACAGAACACAGAAGTCGACACTTTTCTAGTGAGCCTTTGTTAAATTTTATTGTGGTGGAAAAAAATATTATTATTATTAATAAAACAATTTTATTGTTAATTTGTACTTATTGTTCTTTCGGTGTGTACAATCATTTTATACGGTGTTTCTGAATTTTGACGTATTTGATTAACAATCCTTTTTATTTCTATATAATTATTATGCATTTCAGGGGGAATTCATGGTTTGTAGCTGCTATGCTAATGCTACAATTTTCAGCTAACAAGCTACATTTAAAGAATTTTTAACCAAGTTTGACTTTTAGCTAACAAGATAAAAGAACAATGTATAAAGCTAACAAGCTTATTTTTTTAACTTGGCATTTCTTAAGAACATTAGCTTAAACTGTCAAGTTATCTTACACTAGCTAACTGACATGAATGCGGTCTATCCATCCATCCATCCCTCTTCTCCCACTTATCCGTGGTCGGGTCACGGAGGTATCAGTTCCAGCAGAGAGCCCCACACGTTCCTTTCCCTGGCCACATCAACCAGCTCTGACTGGGAGATCCCAAGGTGCTCCCAGGCCAGAGAAGAGATATAATCCCTCCACCTGGTCCTAGGTCTACTCCTCGGTCTCTTCCCAGCTGGACGTGCCTGGAACACCTCCCTAGGGAGGCGCCCAGGTGGCATCCTTACTAGGTGCCCGAACCACCTCAACTGGCTCCTTTCGACGCTTAAAGTGGACCTATCATGCTATATTTGAATAATATAGTGTAGGACCATACCTATATAAGGCATATTTATACTTTTTTTTTTTCAAAATACCAAACAGATCATGCATTTTAGCCATGCCTCATTTCGCTCAATTTGACCATTTATAGCTCTGTTTTAGCAAGGGCAGATTCAGTGAGAACAGCACCACCTACAGGCCTGGCATATGTACTACAACGTCTCCAGCGCTTTCGAACGGCAATGGCCGTGGCTGTCTCCTCCTGATTGGTGGAGTTGGCCCAATAGCCGTAGCACCACCGTCCTGACGTCAGGACAGTGTTCAAATCTGAATCAGTTTTTATCAGATCCGTTGCAGCCCCTTTTTTAGAGATTTGGGTATGGAGGAAAATAGAGAGGGTTGTGTTTTCTGACACTTGGTGAGTTCCCTGGAACACCGGGGACACATATTCATGTAGAAAAGACGTACACAAGTGCATTTTGCGTGATAGGTCCCCTTTAAGGAGGAGCGGTTCAACTCCGAGTCCCTCCCTGATGACTGAACTTCTCCCCTTATCCCTAAGGGAGACGCCAGCCACCCTGCGGAGAAAACCCATCTCGGCTGCTTGTATCCGCGATACAGTTTATTGAATTGAATGTGGTCTATCAGACGTCATATTTATACAAAAAATGATTTCAGCTTCTGTCAGGTCCAGGGCATGAAAAGATGACATGGAAATGTGAAGAATAAAAGACCCACTACTACCCAATATTAACTTAAAGCTAAGAAATAACAAAAGACGTTTTGCTAAACAGCTAATGGTAAGCATGCTAACGAGGTAATGTTACAGGGTTTTTTTTATTAGCAAATCATGCAGCGTTAGAATTTAGCCTGAGCTATGTTTGTGCTAACCTTTAAATGTTTGTTTATAGTGACTT